GAGAAGACAAGACGTCTAGCCAGAGAGTCGGTCTACTGGCCCAACATCATTCGCCATATTGATGAACTTGTCAAAGCGTGTTCCTACTGCCAGGAATCCCAACCCAAACAGCAAAAGGAACCATTGGAGCCACATCAAGTACCTTCGACCCCCTGGACCAAACTTGGCACTGATCTGTTTGAAATCCACGGAGACAACTATCTACTGATAGTTGACTATCATTCGAAGTACCCTGTCGTTCACAAGTTGAACAGCACAACCAGTGCAGCAGTTGCTGGCATCACTTCACACACATTCAGCCTCCTTGGAGCACCAGCTGAGGTTATGTCAGACAACGGCCCCCAATTCGTAGGCAAACACTACGAAGACATGTGTAACACATGCAGGGGTTTTCCTTAACTTTTTTCTTTACTGGCCGGCCGGGCCAGTAAACCAGAGTTTTCACTGGCCCGCAACCTTTTTCACTAGCCCACATGTTTTAATAGTAACTTTCAATCAAATCACCATAAGCATTTTTGATAACATTTTTGATAATAAATTATGCAATGTGCCTTCGGCAATTATCTTAATCATGTACATAATATTGCATGTAGTTCCTTTTTAAGTGATGTCAATGTTTCTTTAATCGTGCTTTAACATAGAGCAAGGCTTTAATTAACAGGAATCAAATAGGGGGAGAAGTTATAATCAAAATTTATGCAGTGTCCTTCGTTCCGAACTTAAGGCTTTAGGTGTTCTATTTCCGACATGTTTTGATAAAATACGAACTAAAAAAGCGTTATCTTGAGGAACAAGAAAACATTGCACACAGTCGTGGTATTAATGGGAGTTTACCAAGTTAGTAACTGAACTGTTTTAACTTGTTTGAAAATGAGTGAGGCAGCCAGTATTTAAAAAAAAACATCTCTCGCGCGCGCCATGCATTTCTAGCGAAGAATGGTGCAATCAGCGTGCCTAGCCAAGAAGCGCTGCGGGCGGGCGACCCAGGAACTTACGCTGGTCACGTCAATCCATAACGTTTTCCGGAGCACGGTCCACTTTACATTCACTAGTCTACATTCAAAATAGGCCCCTCGAATCTCATATTGTCCTCATCTTTTCGGTACATTCGTTTGATAGTGTTCAAGAAATCATCCCAAGAATCCGTTCGGGCACAAGTTTTGGCAGTGAAACTGTCATGAAAGTTTTCTCCTCACCACGTTGTATGATACGAATACGATGTTAACGTACGTACGTCCGTACCGTGTGGACTGCAGATGAAGTAAATCACGTCGCTGCATGTGTGCACAATGTGTAATGGCAAATACACGTTGATTCGCCTCATGTTCGTCGTTGGGATTTCAATGCACAGCGCACTGCGAATATACATGGAGTGATACGAATTCGAACTACCGATGTTTTTATTTCGGTCGGCGTGGCAAAAGTATTCATGTGTTGTATCACCCTTAACTTTTTATTTTGATTGATTGAAAAATACTGTAGGGAAAACTTCGTTAGTTTTAATTTTTTTAAACAGTTTTTTGACTCGCCCGTCGGACTACTGAGAGGAGGGTTTTTACTCGCCCGCTGCTGTTTTCACTCGCATTTGGCGAGCGGGCGACCGCTAAGGAAAAACCCTGACATGGGGCATCAAGCACACAACTTCGTCTCCACGTTATCCACGTTCAAACGGTTTCGTGGAACGTTCAGTCAGAACTGTCAAGTCAGTGATCAAGAAAAGCCAAAAGTCTGGACAAAATGTCGACATAGCACTCTTGAACCTCCGTGCAACCCCTCTGGACTCCAAACTACCGTCACCAGCTGAAATTCTCTTCGGCAGACCGATACAAACTACCTTGCCAAACAACCACCTGCAAGCAAACCCCCAGAAAGCTGAGGATATCAGAGACCAGCTAGAGGCAAGACGACAAAAGATGAAGACCGACCATGATGCCAAACAAGCAGTAAAAGAACTCCCACAACTCTATGTTGGCCAACGAGTGCGAATCCTGGACCAGCAGAACCACACTTGGTTGCCTGGTGAAGTCACAACAGTCTGTAAGGAACCTAGATCATATGAAGTCACCACACCCAATGGACACAGACTACGTCGCAACCGTTCGCACCTACGTGAGATGCCCAGCCAGATGAAATCCCTGGCTACGCCCAAACGAGTTCGATTCGCTGATGAATCACTTCCACTGTCCAACAAGAAGCTAGACACAGAAGCTGTGAAACAAACAGACCGAAACAAAACAGACCGAAACAACACAGATCGAAACAAGTCTCCGACTGTCACTCGCAAAACAAAATCTGGACGCACAATCCGAAAACCAGCCAGATACACTGAATAATATCACACACCCAGATTATACATAGCAGATACTTCAAACAATTTGGTTCAGAAACGATATTTCACATATAATTTCATATGGAAACAAAAAAAATAACCCACACGATTTGAAACAGAACTCAAAGTTTCATATGTTTATTAAACCCGTTTCAGTACATTTATTGTTGTTTGAAGTTAAATTTGTTAACCGTTCAAAAAGGAAGAAAGCAAGAAAGTACCAAAGTCAAATTTCAAAAGAAAGAAAGTACTAAAGTTCACTTTGTTACTGTTCAAAAAAAAAAAAAGAAAGAAAGAAAGAAAGAAAGAAAGAAAGAAAGAAAGTACTTAAGTTAAATTTGTTACCGTTCGAAAAGAAGGTACTAAGACTGTGTGCCACATATTGCAGAGAAACAAAAGTTGTAGTTGTCAGTAAGATATGACCACCAATGTTTCATATGCCTGTCAATTGAAAAGCCATCACTACACGTTTCATGTAAATGCTTACTAATTAAGTAAATTCCAGTTTTATGTGTTCACCAATAATTATTCCTGAAATTGTACTTTCAAAAGGGGAGGGATGTTGTGATACTTCAGGAGCACTACTTTGTATGCGCGCAAGCACATTAGGTGAACAGTTCGCCCGCGCTCACTCTTACATTATGTCTGATGAATAAAGCTGCAGTGGCACAGAACCTGAGAATAATCTCCTCTGAGTTCTTCATTGATTCATCTCACTTCACTACCCACCCCCATTAACTTGACAAGATGGCGAATCCAAGTTGACCCAAAATGTCACCTGTGTCACAAACCTAGATGCAAGCTTGCTCACATACTGAGCGCATGTGAAAAAGCCCTTAATTTGGGTCACTTCACATGGAGACACAACTGCGTCCTTAAATGTCTTTCCAAATACCTGTATGATCATGTGGACCAGGAATCCAACTTGACAGTCGACCTCCCAGGCATGTGCGCGGAATCCAGTACTATTCCAGTAGCAATATGCACAACCAACCTTCGTCCGGACATCTTTCTACATAGCGGGCACACAAGCGCCGTTGTGGGAGAATTGACAATCCCAAACAACTCCACAGCAAACCTGGGGAATGCTAAAGTCCGCAAGACAACAAAATACCAAGGACTGGTGGCGGACTTAACAGAACAAATTCAATCAGTGGACTTGGTGACAATAGAAGTAGGTACCTAAGGTCATTATATTCCATCCGACTTAACCTCTGCTGTCAGAACTTTGGCCCCTAGTATGTCTAAACGGGTCATTAATATAAGTCTCTCTTAGAGGATATTGTAAGGACAGTAGTGAATGCCTCATACACTGTATTCAGTAACCGGAGAATCGAGTGTGACTGGTCATATAAACCACTCATTTATTATTATAAAAACCAGCGTATGTGTGAATAAGTTCTCTGCCTTCTTTTTCAGCAAAATAGCTGTAATTTGATTCAGGGATACATGTTCAGTGTATAGGGATCTCGAATGTGATTGTCATATTGGGTTCTTTTTTCCCTTAAATTTAAGGCAGTGTATATTTTGCCGGAGACGGCAAACCTTTAGTAAACGTTAGTTTGCCGGATATGCACTGAACATGCGCAGTTACTGTTTTTTTGTACTTAAACATTTTCCAGTGACAAGTTTTAGTCTGGCTCCATGCCAAAATTATTGTTGTTACCACGTATTCACAAGATGGGATTCAGACCATTTTATAATTTCGGACTTTAGTTCCCTTTTAAAAAAAATCCTCCAGAGCCACAAATCTGAAAAAGAAAATGTAATTTACTCTGCAAAAAATGTTTGAGACATGTTAAAATAATAAAAGAAGAATATTCTTATTTATTTGGGGATGAGAAAAAAAAACTTAAAAATGTGGTGCGGTCGGAATCGAACGCGAGACATCCCGCTTACTAGAGCCTTTGCTTAACCAGGCATTACACCAAACGTGCTACACAACTTTCGGTGGGAATTTAATACATCTTATAATTCAGCCCTATTTTAAAGAGTACAGCGCCCTCTGTTGATATGGATTTTGTCAGCAAATTATATTCTTTGATAGAGGCTCCCTAGGTTGGCTCGTATTTGAGCATCTCCGGGCCCTTGAATGTGCAATTTCTCTTTTTCATAATAAGCTGATCAGGTGCTGATTTTTTGGGTTTTTTAAAATTGTGTTGCTCGGCATATACAGATTAGCTTGGACCCTACTGTCGCCAGACAATATGTCCGAATGTTAAAAAAGCGATAAGTTGGGTCCAAGTTCATGAAGTTACTCGGACCAGGGCCTATCTGTACGGCAATAATTTAGGCCTAGGCCTACTCTCTCTTTGATTTCTTTTATTTTTAAATTACTTCTCGGAAAAGCTTTGAATTCCACATAACTGCATTGAGAAGAAAGGCGATGTGACGATCGATCTGTGACGATCGATCTTCGACGGTGATTTGACGTCGGTCTGTGCTGCGTGCAAAACGATAGGGCCGAGAAAGTTGGTTGCGCGACTATTGGGCAGCGCGAATTTGGGGCACTGTACGATAGCTGATCACAAAAGTCTTTAGACAGTCACTGAGTCAGCGAGTCAGATTCAGAATTAAGCTTTTTTGTCTCTTTTTTCGATTATCTTTCGTGATAAAAATGAACTTCAATTTGCAGTTTCCAACTACAAGTACCGGTCAAATGGTTACCCACCTTCTTGATTGAAAGAAAACAACCTGAAAACTATACCATACCGTCTCCCTCCTCAAAGGACAATTTCGCATAGTGTTGCGACTTGCGCATGTTATTTGTACACTGTACATGTTATGTATGCTTGACACACGTACAAACGCCCCCAACGGCGGTGTCAATGTTAACAGATAATTACTACTAAAGTTACAAATGCGCACATAAAATATAGTCCCCGCGGTTTCTGTGATTTAGACCATAGAAAATCAACAAAATCAGCAAGCTTTGCCCAGTTCACGGTGCAAATGACATATGAGGTTTATGGGAACTGTATACCAAAGCTAGTACCAGTGATTATAATTAGTATGGTTCATGTCTTTTATCACGCTGAGTCGGCTGAGTGAACATTGAAGTTCACAAAGAATATTAATCACACTTTATTTCGTACAGAATCAAGAATATTTTTTATTTTATTTTATTGTAATCTCTACCGAGGGCAGTTCATTTCAGCTTAATCCTGACTTTCCAAATGAGCCCTCAGATTAAAAGTACATAGAAATAAGACAAAGAAATCACTAATACAAGCTGACAAAAATTACACAACATTTACAGGAAACATATAGAGTATAACGTATGACAAGGAATTGGATAAAAAAATTAAAGTAAAACATGACACATTAAAAGAATAGAGAGAAAAACGGATACTCAAGAAAAAGTGACACTCAAGTGGTGATAGCAAAATTTAGTAGAACATTATTGCACATTACTTTTTTGTTTAGTTAAAAAAAATGCTATTTCATTGCTGCAAACATTACAAGAAGCCCATCAATAAGACAAAGTTAACAAAAAAACCTGCTTGAGTTTAAAATCAAAGTTGTAATATGCTGCTTATAAGATGAAGACACACCATTCTTAGACCTGGTATAAATGCACATGCATAACAAAAACAAATGATTTAAAACACGTTGCTATGCTGCTTTACAATCACACACGTCCGATCAAAAGGACTAAATACTAAACACGCATGCTTGGTTACAAATATGTTGCTTGAGGTTTGGTTTAAAAACTGATGGTGACGGAGATTCTCTTAAGGTTAAAAAGGAAGGTTCCAGATATGACCACCAGAAAATGTAAACATACGTTTGCCATTACCAAAGTGTTTACTGAGTTAAAGGCAATGTTAGGCCAAAAAAAAAAATATTCGGTCTCTGGTCAGACCAAAGTTCCGGAATTGACGCGGGGACGCGTTTTTTTTTTTTTTTTTGCTTTTTTTTTTCTTCTTCAAGCTTGGATTGTACAGACAAGGTGGGGTACTATTTTGCTTTTTTGGTGTCCTCATGTACATTGGTGTCCTCCATAATTTGCCTTGGTGCTCTCGATCATTTGCCTTGGTGCAATTTCCCATTCCTTGGTGCTCTTTGATAAAAAAAATTGAGGAGGTGCGGCAATAGAGGGCGCTGTTGGAGCTACAGCGGAACATTTTGGGGAAAAAAAGATTGACGCGCATGATTAAAATCGACGCGCGCCCTGACCAGAGACCGACTTACTTTTTTTTGGGCCTTATTGTTGGCATTTAGAACGTTGTTGTAGGAATGAACATTTAAATGGGAATGGATCTTCGAGGACAAATACAAAGGAGCTGAGCGATTGACACTGACGGTACAGTGTACATCAGCGTGACATTAAAGTACACGTTACGTTGGTACACCATCCAAGTTCAATAAACAGCTCATTGACACGAAGGTCTCTAGTTGGGTGGGAAGAAGGGGGTATCGTGCTCCCTCGGAAATCAACTTCTAATCAACGTCTCTAGAACAGAAAAAGAGCGTCTCTAGAACAGAAAAAGAGCGTCTCTAGAACAGAAAAAGAGCGTAGAAAACAATTTCATATGAATTCCTTTGGGGATCTAACCCACCGGGCCGCTTTTTATGTGCAACCTCTATGAGAGAACGCGGCGAAAAATCATTAAAAACGGGCCTTTTTTCACATCTGTCGCCACCACTTCATTATTCTACAGGGTATACCTTAGACCTCACTACAGTGTGACCCTAACAATATACTCTTTCAGAAAATGAAAGAAAAACTGAATAAAACACTGAGTTTTACTCGCGTATTGATGTTAAACATTGCATTTTTAGTCAAAAATCTCCCTGTTTTGTGTGTAAACCACGCGTTCAGCCAAGAACTGGTCCATTAACATCATCATAACGTTAAATAGCGCCACCTGGGAGCTTAGATCTCTCGAGTCATTTTTCTTCGTCTCATCAGCTTTCCAACAATATAACCCTTATTGTGATTGGTTAAGGTTTAGGCTCGCGTGTATTCACTTACTAAAGAATTGTACATCTAAACTCCAATAAAATTTGCCGTTGCTCAATGGCTCAGCGCGTAGGGTCTGTTTATTGTACACGTGCTAGGCAGCGCTACTGTATATACACAGAGCCCGGGAGCTCTTATCTCTGTGTGTCCAAGGTCATCTGGCTGTGCGCTTTGGCCAGTTTACATGGGGTCCTTTTTATATGTCTATGTTAAAAAAAATCAAAAAATGTCCCACGTATTGTTTTTATGCAAATTAGTGCCGCCATTACCGAAAAATCTATTTTTCACTATATATCTTAGCCAATATTGCATGCAGATTACTGAAGGAATAAGGTGTCTGAACCCATGTTTTCAAGGTAGAAAATAATTTTTTTTTGGTAATGGCGGCACTAATTTGCATAAAAACAATACGTAGGACATTTTTTGAATTTTTTTATATAGCAAATCGTTTTCTACGCATTTTTTTTCTGATCTAAAGACGTCAATTGAAGTTGATTTCGGAGGGTGCACGATAACCCCTTCTTCCCACTAAACTACTCTTGTTTGGCAGCCCAAAACTAACGTAGCCACTTTATTTTGTAGAATCTGAATCTTGAGATGCTTTTCAGAGGTATTAAACCAAACTGGGAGACGATAATCTATATGGGAAGAACAAGTGTGTTATAAAGTATATGAAGAGTTGATCGGTTAACATTGTAATGCCGTAATCGTTTGAAAACTCGAAGTTTTTGAGCTAAGTTTGCTGACAAGACCTCGATGTTTGTTCCATTAAGATTACTACAATCACAACAAACCAAGACATTTAAATTCAGTGACAGTCTCTAGTAAAGTCGTTGTTAAGTCTAACATTGCAAACATGGGATGATTTTGTTTTTGTTTGGGAGGATCAAAGAGCATAGCCTTTGATTTTGAAATATTCAAAGTGAATCTATCCAGTCAGAAACTGTAGTGACTAGTGAGCTAATGATTGAGGGTGTTTTCAATATCAGAAATCTGTTCAGAGCCATAACCGTGTCGTGAATACTATGACGATCTTACACTGCAGAGACAGAATCCGGTAAACCATTCGGATAAAATGATGATCACCGAGGTCCAAGAAAAGAGCGCCAACTGAATAACTCTCATCCAAATTAGATTACATGAGACCACAAACATCATCATGAGTGGTCTGTGTAGAATGCTGAGGTCTGAATCCGGATTGGACGGGGAGAGAAGGTCATTAATATGCACGTATTCATAAAAAGCAGTGTATGGCAGGCGCGGCTCTCAAGAATGTTAGAAATATAAAAGGCAATATTGTGATAGGGCGATAATTATTAACCACTCTTGTATGCATGATTATGGACAACAGCATTTTCCCATTTTTGATAGCACGCAATAGTGAGATTGATAATGTAAGTTATGGAGATTTGTTTAGCCCCAACCTTTAAAAGTCTATTTTTTCAATACCCTGCAGTCGATTTGCCCAAGTTATGTAGAGCTCGTCATTCACAAAACCTTCATCTATATCACATGATCAAAGCACTTGTTCGCCATGGAATAGGAGTGAACCAAGAACAAGCATATATATAGTTAAATTTAACAGCCTCAGGCGCGGATCGGCTCTGTCAAAAAAAAATTGTTCATAGAAAAGAGTCCTAAAAAATAATGCGAACAACCTCCCGCTCTGACACCCCCCGCTCTGACACTCATGGTATAATGTCCGCCTGTGCAATATACGGACAGAGCCAGCTTGGATAGGGGGTACTTGTACACCATTCTGCGGTAATCTATCGTGAATAATCGTTGAATTTGAACAGCGACCCCTATTGAAATATGGTACCAGCCCCCCTGGATGATGACACCCCCCCCCCTGCACAAATTCCTGGATCCGCCCCTGGCAGCCTTTTATATCGTCTTGGCTATACTAGTGAAGAATCGTTTGGAGTATTAATAACTGATTTGAGAACTTTCACACAACGGTCATCACATTTAACAGGTTCTTTCGTCTGTATGGGGAACAGCAGATTTAATAATTTTCCAAAGTTTTTGATCATCATGTTTATGTTCCCGAATAGAGCTCGTGTGAGTTTTGGCTTGTGTAAGGGTAATCGTGAAAACTCCTAATAATGGGGGAGTCAGGTTGGCGTAGCGGTACTTTCCTCGCCTTCCACCTCTGTGACCCGGGTTCGAATATCCCGCCTGGGCCAATGTGGATTGGGTTTTCAGCCCCTGCCTGATTCCGTGGGTTTTCCCCAGAATATTCTTCTAGGGTTTTCGTCCCACCTCTAAAACTGTAACTTCTTCTCATTGTCTTCTCTTCACAGGTTTCTTCAGGCTTGCGAGCTACAGTGCTAGGGCGCTTTTGAGGAATCCTTGGTTTCATTACCAGAAATGATTAATAATAAATATCGTCTGCACCGCGCCGAGTGTTTGCATTCGACGGTTTGCTTGCGGAATGATATTTTTATACCTTAAATATCTGTACCCAGACTCTCATACGTTTTACTTTAATATAGCTAACTTTAGGTATCCGACTAAATTATTGTCAAATACTTTACGTTTAGAACGAGTATTTTGAGTAAATACGTTATTTTCCCCTCATTTTACTCTTTACTTTATTCAGCTTATCTGTAAAAGAAAAGGTACATTGCTTTGAGTTTTAGTTGTATTTAAAAGTGGATGAGAATTTCTGCAGAGAGTGAATACATAATTTATATGGACACCATCTGTACGTTTGGAAATTAAACACCTCGGATCGATAAAAGCTTCCTTGGTTGCCACTGCACTGTACGTGTTGTGCCCATTCTTGAAAATCACGCATTCTCGAGAATGGGCATGCACATTCTTGAGAATGTGCAACTGGATCCTTGCTCAATCTTGGCAAAAAATAACTCTTCCAGATTGAGCGCACATTCTCGAGAATGCGCGACAAGATAACGGTCTTGTCGATGCCGAGCACCGGCTGCGCTTGGCAAGTCTAGCTGAATCCTCGTTCACTGATTCTCAATAATTATACTGTTGCAACGCAAGGCTCTGAAAAGTAGAGTGGATATGATAAGTAAAGGCGTATTAATATGGGGGGGGGGGGGACCGGGAAAATATAAGAGACATAATAATACTAGTGCAAAGAATTCTGATTTTTGGGATAATAAAAGCGGGGGGGGGGGGACGTAAGAATGAAGAATGTGAAGAATGAGAATGAATACTGCGACATCCCATAGTGCTAATGCTATTTCCCATTTAAATTGCCACCAATTTATTGTTCACATCTCACCATAACGTCGCAGAGCTGGATTCTATCTAGTCAAAAGAGCAATTTTGGCAGCTTCTGGACATCGTTTTTTTTTTTGTGGCACGCATATGATACATGCAGGGACTTGTAACTTGTCTAGCCTAAACAAAGCACTTCCCAGACTAGTTCCCAGTCCTCCGTTATTACAAAACTTCCCATAGTGGGCAGAAAAAAGCAATAATAACAGGTTTAATTTGATTCAAATTATCGTAATTATACGAGTACAGAAGCATAGCACATTTTCTTTCCTCTTTATATGAATTGTTTCCCTTTTAACCGCTATACAATTCATTTAACATAATTATGTCGTGCAATGTTTGTTAAGATTGGGCAAAATTCATAAATTGTGCACGTGATATTCCCAACCAATCTTAAGAATGAGCGCTCATTCTTAAGAACGCGTGCTCGTTCTTAAGAATGGGCGCTCATTCTTAGAATGCGCGCCCATTCTCGAGAATGTGCATGCCCATTTTCGAGAATGCGTGATTTTCAAGAATGGGCACAACATACGTAAATCCCACGGTACAGCGCGTGCAACAACATGCAATGTGCATTTGTGTGATCGTGTTGTACAATTTGAAGTAGTGTGTGGTACTGAAACGAACCCTGAAAACTACTGGTAGGGTTGTTTTTCTCATCATAGCTGAACAGTTTTACATTTCAAGGGACATCTGTTTTTCCAACAGTGTAGTGGTGACGTCCGAGCAGAGCAGGCAGAATGCCGACCAGAGCGGAACAAATTATGGGCGGTTTCAAGTTGTATCCTTTTCCCCATTCATGCCATTGCCATGATGATGTTTTCCCCTTTTTGCAATTCATTTTGCATTTGCAAACAACCGTGGAGTGTGGTCATATTGATATTGCCATTGCATTGGAATGGGAGATTCACCGAATGGGATGCCGTTCGATTTACACAAGAGCGGGGTTGTGTTTCATTGAATAAGCCATTTTGACGTTTTGCTTGCGCATGTGCAAAATCTCATTAACAATGTATATTTTTAAATAAACAAAACACGCCAGGCTGACCTTGACCAATTCCAATTGATCAGTACAGTAGGAGGCTTGCGCATCATGTGCGTTTGCTTATCCAAAAACTTCGGCATGTTCAGTGCTCCACACGAGATGTAGAATTGGCTTATTCAAGTAGTTATGTCATAATTACAGATGAGATAGGCCCTAGATCAGCAGAACTTTAAGAACTACCGGTACTGTAAGGTTTTTTTATTGCTTGAGTAACTCCAACGCCAATGCTCATCGCATTAGAGCTGGAGGCACAACTACCGGTATGTTAAAAAAAACTAGATTGTAAGTAGCCCCATAAATGTGGCCAATTTACTGGACTACCTCCGTATTAAAATAAAGGCCACACTTGGAACATGTACCAAGTAGACTGGATCTTGTTTGTAAACACAAATGCATTTCAAATGTTGATAGGGAGTTGGGACCTAGCTAGCTCGAACTGGTTTCCACTCATAATTCTGACTGTACTGATCATGAAGGGAACCAGTTCAAGCTGCCCTAGTTCCCGACTCCCTATCATCGTTCAAAATGTACTTGTGTTTACAAACGAGATCCAGTCTACTTATTATCATAATCAAAGCATCGTGCTCGGTAACGGAATCAGGCTTGGGACATTTGAATGAACGCTGGGCAGGAACACATCGCGTTGTTCAAAACGAGTTAGAAATTTAACACGTTCACAATCGTGAGGGGAGATCTCGGAATTGAACGGGAATTTTACTTTTCATCCAGATCGTAAGTCAACTCTAGTGCCTCGATCTTAATCATCGATCTCACTCATACCTCAGGTGGCATATCTAGTTATTTGTAGGCCATTTTGAGGGTGAAATCTGATGTTTTTGTTGGGCAATGTTGGGTTTTTAGGTCAAGGACAAAATTGTGTTGCTCGGCATATACATGTACGGATTAGCTTGGACCCTACTATCGCCAGACCATGTCTGAATGTTAGAAAGGCGTTAAGGTGGGTCCAAGTTACTCGGAAGTGTACCGGGGTATGTAGAATGCAACATCTTTTATGCTAAAGTTAGTAAAGTATTTCATGCTACAGTTTACCACTAGTGGTATTTTGTAGCTTTAGGTGACGTTAGGGCTAATAATGAAATCTGTTGGTGCAAATTTGAAATCGAAATAGGTCTGTCGAATATACAGAATATTTGAATATTCGATAACGGCATATGAATATATATGATTCGAATATTCAGAAAATGTGACTGATGAATGAAAAAAAGTATTTGTGATGTTATAATCTTCTAAAGCCCCAGTCACACCTTTACGGTTTGAACTACGGATCTCCACGGTTTGAAATTCGTGACAATCCGTGGGAGTACCATTTTCATCCTTTGTACATGATCCGTGGTTATCCCTCACCTTCCTTTGGTATTCGTGGAGGGGCTGCGGAAGTTTGAAACTGTTCATAACTTCCGTGGTGAACTTTAGTACTGCATCAATCAACTGTGCCAAAAGAAACGTGACATGAACTGGGAACAAGTCTCTATTTACTGGGCAATTCCATGAAAATGTCATCTTGAGAATCATAAATTGTGTTTCATAATAAATGGTCATGTTGGCTACCATTTTGAAGCTGATAAGGTACAGAATACAAACATTCACTCAATTTTTCATCAAATGCAAAATTGACATGAAAATGGGTGAGAAAGGCACTTATTGGTTAAAAAGCAAAATGTTAATAAATTGCAATTTTAGGCATATTTTGCCAATTAATTAAGTATATTTTGACAAATTTTCTTGAATTTTGTAATTTTTAAGCAAAAAGCCACGTTTTATTGCCTAGAATTACAACATTGAATTTGTTTTGCATTTTACCCAAAATCCTGCCGCTTTTAAATTTTACCAAAACTAAGTGTCAGTCTGTTACCAAAATATCTAAAATTTTTTTTTAGTCTTTTATATTAGTTAGAATAACTTTCCTTTTTTGGATTCTCTGTGGTCATCAAGCTATGAACAAAATTGACAAAGAAAATTCATGTACCATTTTGTTATTATTGAAATAAACCATGGTAACAGACTGACGCCTGTGGTAACAGACTGACGGTAACAGACTGACACATGTACAAGTCTATGGCTCTAGATGCAAGGCATTGTGGGTAAAGTGCATAGCTAAATCAATGGCCCAGGTGAAGGTATTCTGACCACTACTTCAGCCATGTGCTTTGGCCTATTTTCTTGAAATTTGGCAAGAATGGTGGTTAGTAGGTACATAATAATTTGAACTCATTTGGTTGTGCTTTACTTTTTTATGTTTTTGAATTTTTTTGTCAAAAAACATTATTTTTGGCATAATTTGTACATTTTGCATTCAAATGCATTCAAATTTGGTACAAATATTGTTTGAGTCAATAGAGAAGCATTCAAACAACCTTCGCCATCCTACTGCAACACTAGAGGGCGCTATATCAACTTTTTGGGCCAAAATCATCATTTTTCTTGATTTTGGCCCAAATTTGAATTTTACGTCCAAAATCACACCTGTACTTACACAAGGGTTACAGACACCTAAAGCCTCAGTTTAAACAGGAAAAGAACATGACAAAGAGGTCATACATGTAGGTTTACTGTGCATGTTGCACATGAACTCAGAGCATGTCAGTCTGTTACCACCGATGTCAGTCTGTTACCGAGCATATTTTTGATCACACCATTTTACCCGGCAGTGATTTACGAAAACCACCACCATTTATAAACAGCAAGGACTTAGCTTTATAATATATTTAGTGTACCATTACTTTTTATTTGCCAACTTCAGAGAGTTTTTCCACTGAACACTCAGTTTGGAAAAGGCAGGATGCGCAAGTGTCAGTCTGTTACCATGGCAACACATAAGTTTACCGGACCCCAACAAAGACTAAATTTGGAAAGAAAAACTGCAGGTTATAGGGGCACTTGCAATGAACAAAAATGTTCTTGAGTTTGGGTCCTAACTTCAACATCCTTAGAGAAGGGATACATTGTGAAAACCCCTCCCAAGATGTCAGTCTGTTACCCATGGAATTGCCCTGCTACTCATTTCTCCATAGTCAGCCACCAGACTAATGACACTGAATGAAGAGGACAGTCTTTTTAAACAGTTGGACCATGGTTGGACATGTATTAATTAGTCTAGTCGTTGGCCTTATTTTGAAATCATTTGACTTCCCTCTCATGTGCAAAAAAATGAAGAAAAGCCTCCTTTGAAAATTGAGTTGAGTTTTCAACCTTGGTTGTTGAAATACTGAGAAATTTTTCTTTCCCCAACAAAAATTTTGGAGAATTTTGCTGGCTAAAGAGTGACTCAAGTTGGCCTGATTTCGTTCGCAGTTTTTCAGCCCTCAAGGTCCCAGTCGGGTTGAGCGTGTGCAGCGAGCCGCGCAACTCGCATAGCGTTGAAACAAAGGCAAGGTCAGATGACATTGTATAAGGATAGGTTGGACTGGTTGAATTGACTTTCTCTTTCATCCAGACGTGATTTTCTAACCTGCTCCTTCATTTACAAATGTTTATATGGTATCTGTTAGTGTGAAGTTATTACTGACAACGCTTTCATCAATCCAAGACACCCTGATTCACTCACATTGCGTCACCTTCCTGCCCGTATTCAAGCTCTCTTTCACTCTCCCTCCCATAGATTTCCCAGACTGTGGAACGCTTTACCCTCCCACATCAAGGATTCAGCTGTCATTAACTCACTCCCTCATTTTGTAAGAGTAAGAGAGCTGAAGCAGTCATTCTTTACTGATAACTAAATGTTTCCCGGTTTGTGCCATCACCAGTTTGCTAAATCATGTACATGTGTGGCAATCAATTTGTACTGTAATTTTGTGAGATTTTCCCTACGTTTGTGTGTCCCTTGTAAAATATGTGCGAGAATGCATACCTGTGGGTAATAGTAGTTGAAATAACTGTGCTTTTCCTGACCAACATATTTTTGTTTGTATAGTTTTGTTGTTTTTTTAATTCCATTTGTGTTCGATTAGTTTTTGAACTTATTTATGGCCCCCACCTTGTCATTAGTTTTATCCTTATTGTTAGCTTGTTTTGTGTTCTTATTCTATATATTTAATCATTTTGAGAGTTGTTTTTAGGGTCGGTTGGGTATCTGGAAGTGGAAGTATTTTTTTGTTTACCTATGTACATGTATGTATATGTACTTACCTAAACAGTACAACTGTATAGGCCTATGACATGATAAACATTTACAACTGTATAGACATGATAATCAGTTTGGCTGTTGAAGATAAAGACCAGCTTGTTGCCTTGACAACACATGTACATATTGGGGTATACATGACATTTTAGACAAAGCTCTGTTAGTACACTAAGCCCTTGCACTGGTTACTTCTGTGTGACAAGTTTGTTGCTGCACAAATTATACAACATTAGGATGTAATCACTACTTATGGTATCTGATTCAGTTGCTATAGCAACTGTGGTATTAGAAGGTCAATCTGCTGTAATGTCATTCACACGAGCACTTGATTGATATTGTTTACGGCTGCAAAATCATGTTGATTTTGCGACGTTTATGCAGCAGACTTGTGCTTGTGGATACTTACCTGACTTGATCAGAAAATATGCATATATGTAGGTGCTGTTCAATTAATTTGAATGTTAAAAGCGTTATGACAGTTAGATAATAATGTACTGGGAAAACTTACTTGAGGTATATGATGTTACCGGTAGTTATATGGATATTTGCATGTATTAGGCCACAAGTTTGTGGACCTTCTAAGGATGAACCGTCA